GATGTGGTGAGAGGTGTAGTGTTGCAAAACACACACACACACACGCACACACATACATCGCTTTTTATGGGTCTACGACAAATTCCGGAAAGACACTTGCCCGAATGCCGTTTGCCCGAAGGCCGATTTTCCGTATGGTCACTTCCCCGAATGTGACAAATGCCTGAATGGAAATTTGCCTGAATACGACAAATGCCCGAATTGACGCTTGCCCGAATGTTACAAATGCCCGAAAGCCACTTGCCCGAAGGCCGTTTGCCCGAAAAATGTTAATATTAGGTAATAAATAATATTACCAAATAGATATTTCTTATCTATTCTAGTTTGAAATTTTATAATAAACACAATCAATTGTAAGCAAGAAACAAATGTATTTTTCTTTTTCAATTTGGCTTTTATTTTTTTAAACATGAAAAATTGCTGTAAAAAAATTCTTTATTCTTTAATAAATGTAAGGTAATGTTGGCGGCGGTGTCTTAACATTCCATTGTTGTAAGTTTTGAACACCTTATTTAGCCGACATATTGCCGTGGTTCTATAGTGTTTGACACGTTGTAGGCGGCGCAGCGCCTTGCAACATTGAACAGAGTCGCGTTTGTTTGTTTATCTTGTTATGCTTAACTTGTGTCGTGATCATTTAACAAAAGAATGAGGTGGGGTCTAGGATTCAAATTTAAAAACTAAAGGTAGTCTATTATGTTTCATCTCCATTTAATGCACCTTGTTTCGACAATGTGTTGAAGCGATTACTTTAAAAAAAAAAAAGCGAGATTCATTTTAAAATCTGCGATAGACGAAAATGTTTTTTGTCTTGTTATTTCGATAGAAAAGAAAATATGTTTGTACACTTTGTATATAGCAAATACATAATAATTAAGTATATTTGCGTGGTAATTTTTTTTTTTTTTTGCTTAGATATTATGTAAAATCTAATGTAATAAGTAATGCTAAGCTCTTTCGGTAAATGTAATTCACTCAATCGTTACACTCTTAACGCTACACTTAAACTTCTTGGAACATAAATGAACCTAAATGAACATAAATGAACCTAAACGTTACAATACAATTTTCTGTATCTGTAGTTTATTTCACCGCTTTTCTCTTTGCTTCTTTTAAGGGTTTTTTTCGTCAAGCATTCCTCATTATCCCCTCTTTCTACGAAGGGCATTAAATAAACCTGTCCACGGCGGTTTTTTCCCTCCCTTTCAGAATATTTCAGAAATGGGTTAGGTGTTATTAAATCAGTTGCAACCTTTTTTCCATGGACGGCTATACCCTCAATTCCAGCAACTTGTTTCTCTATTGTCGTTCTTTAGCAAAGTAAATTTTCTCTCGCTGAAGAGCTAATCTCAAAAATCTTTTATGTCGAGGTTGTTACTAAATATTATGTATGTATATAGCCTGCATATATATATATATATATATATATATATATATATATATATATATATATATATATATATATATATATATATATATATTAGCCACGATCGTCGCTGGACAAAAACAAGCCAATTTTAAAGCTGTTGATGACACAAACTTGACCACGCTGCCCATCAATGAAGAGTTTGACCAAGTCAGCCTTTTGTCCTGCGCCCATTTTTGTTTGAGTTCCCACAAAACGTGCTACAGCTACAGCTACAACGAAACCACAAGACATTGTAGCTTGGGTGAGTTTCCATGTTTTGCAATGTGGTAATCGGATACTTTTCCTGTGTTTTTTGTTTTTGTTTGTTATATTAAATAATAGCAATCACCTTATCATCGAAACAAGTCTAACATTGACGTCTTTATCCTCCAACATCGTCTCTCCTTTAGTAATTCCGTCAGCCATGTATTTGAGTATGTGTTGCCAGGGCCCGTGTTCCCCCACATCCACAACTTAGCGTTTGTTAAGCTACTCAATGTTCTCCCCTAACTATGTTCTTGATAGCTAGCATCCCCTGTGAAAAATCGACCATTCCGTGACCCCCCCCCCCCCCGAGTGTTTCAATTCCTCACACGACCATCCCGTATCCCGGGGTAAGACAGCTCTTCACGCAACGTTTCTTTTTCCAAACTATGTGCACGAGTTTAAGTTTAACATTTCGGCTAATGGGATTTTGTTTAGTCTCTTATCTTTTAAAAGATCGTAAAATATCATCTATCTATCTATATATTACTAAAACTCAAGTTTGTTTAAATGTTCGTATATTTTGTTTGTTTGTTTGTCTGGTTTCTTACAGGAGAGAATCTGCACTATGTGTAGAGCGGTAAAATACGTATTTAGTAGACAATAAAGTTCTGTTGTACCAAATTGTTAATCACAAATTTATTTCAAGCCGTTAATTAATTAATTAATATATATTCATTGGAAGAAACACCACTTCAATTATAAAGTTCAAAACAGTTAATGTATTTACATTGACGTCACGTGATTTAAGGCTGTTATAAAATGAAGATCATGTTGCTCATTTAAAAGTTTAACGCATTACAAAGCTACATTTGCTTTAGGCTATAGCTTAAACTATACATTTATTAGGTTATTATTTGACTAGATCTAAATCTATACAATACATTTATCGCGCCTAGATCTAGAGATTCTAGATCTACTGATAGGCCAAACATAAATTAATTAGTTAGCTTAAACAGACTAAATCAACACATGCACAGAAAACTGAAGGTTGGGTGTAGCGAAATGTGCACTTGTGGCAAGGCTCTACAAGCTCCCTAATAAAAGTCAATAGTATTATCTAATCAATAGTAATATAACTTTTACTTCGGCGCCCCACGTTTTTCATCGCTTATAGTAGAGTGATCGCTTGCATTATTGTCATGTATAGCATTTATTTTCTACTTTTTAGTTCAATCAGAAAACGTGGGTTTTTTTAATTTTTTTAATGATTATTATCATTTGTTTTATTGTTTATTTTTTGCGTTTTGTGGATTAGGAGTTTAAAAAGTTTTTGAGGACAAATGTTTTTTTTTTAAATTATATAAGCACATATTTTTATGTTATTACATTTTACCAAACTTTACATATTTTCTTTCAAATTAAAAACGATAATTATCAATTTAAAGTGTTGTTTTAAAAATGCCATTTAACTTTAAAGATAATTTATTATCTTCACTGCAGGGTTCGGCGTGGTCGAGTCGGTAAAGCTCATGGTTGCTAAACCGAAAAGTCTCGAGTTCAAACCCTCAGAGGAGGCTCGTTAGCTGGGGACAGCAACTCTTCTAGGAGAGACAACTCCAAAATTAAACAAGTGCTGCCTTGTAGTTTGTTCTTGGTTGGACAAAGGCTATGGAAAAAAATCAAAAAGAAAAGCAGGCTGAAATTGGAGTCAATGGCCTCAATGGCGCATAACCAGTTGACACGTAACGCGTAATTGTGTTGGAGGTGTGGTCGAGTCGGCAAAAAGCTCATGGTTGATAAATTCGAACAAAGTCTCGAGTTAAAACCCACTGGCAGAAAAATCTTGATCAGGAAGTGTGATTTTCCCCTAAAAATTCCAGTTTTAAAATATTTATCATTTGTATACCGTTTTATTTGGTTGGACGAAATATTATTTTAAGTAAAGTGTTGTGTATGTGATATTCTGTTTACTTTAATAGAGATTTTTAAAGCTGTAGAGTTAATTGATTTTATGACATGTCTTTGTAAAACAGCAAATGATAATACCTTTTTGTCTCTAATTTTTTTTTAAACTTGCTATATTACAAACCTTACTGTTAACTTCTGTTCATGATGTATAACATACCATTTGATGTCACAGGTTCCTGGCTAGTCCCACTGAAATCTTCAGACAGAAAAGTTCAAGGAAAGATCTGGTCTAGTGGAAAGTTCTGTAACACAACCAGAAACATCAAGGTCCTGTCTGATGGTTCCATCTCAAAACACGACCTATACATTTGTACAGGTAACATAAACATTATTCTGACATTCACATATGGTTGTGGTACGTTTTTTTAAACTCTGTCGCCGTATGTGGCACTTTTTTTTTTTAAATATGACTCATTACACAATTTTAACCAACCCTTTTCCTAAACCATAACTCTATTTACAACTATTTCGAACCATTTTCATATAGGCTACTTATCCCAATAAATATTAAGTATAACTTTTTTAAAAATCGAGCGTCAGTAATCGAATTTGGGGTTGTTAGGGCAGTGTGTAATGAGTAGGTGGTGATTGGGAGATGTTTAATGGGAGGGAGGGTGATGCCATGCAAACTTTTCACCAGACAATTTTGTCACCACGTTGTGCATGTTATGGTGTCAGGTGTCCAGTCCGCTCACACACCTCAGGCCTCAAACACCACGTTGTCCATCTAACGGTGTTAGGTGGCAGCCCGCTCACAAACCTCTGGCCTTAAAATACCATCACCCTATTCTGCAGTTTTATTTCATCTCCAGGTAAGCGGGAATTATGCTTAGGAGTCGAGAGCAGTGACCCCCGACCTTTGGTGACCCTAAGCTCCGGGCTACAGGTCATGTGTGACACAGTGACAGACGGTGGAGGATGGACCATTTTCCAAAGACGTGTTTCTGGGACTGTAAATTTTACAAGGAACTGGACGGAATACAAAAATGGGTTTGGTGATTTCAGTTCAGGTAACATTTGGCTTGGGAATGAGAAATTGAATAACTTGACAACAGCAAACCGAACAGAACTAAGAGTGGATATGGTCTTCAATGGAACAAGTTATTTCGCCAAGTATTCCAACTTCTACATTTCTAGCGAGGCAGATGGCTACAGACTACATGTTGGTAACTACACAGGAAATGCTGGGAGGGACGATCTACGCTACCATGATGATATGAAGTTTTCAACCTTTGACGTGGATAACGACTTTGCAGTCAATGGTAGCTGTGCCATATATGGTGGGTGGTGGTTAAACAATTGTTACTTTGTTCACCTTAACGGCGTGTGGTCAGCCACGGGCTTTCAAGGTATCAGATGGCTGAGCATAAGCAACGACCCACTTTCATTCACTGAAATGAAATTTAGATATTTTTAAAATCTTTAAACTTTTGCTGCACCGTTTTACAAAATAATTCAGATTTAAAATATTATAATTAATACATTATATATATATATATATATATATATATATATATATATATATATATATATATATATATATATATATACATGTAGACCATATTGTAAATCTTATTTTAGATTGTTTTTCGTTACACCGATGTATCTTTTTTCTTATGCGTTCCTAATTTTAGTGTTGGAATTCCTTCCAAAAGAATTAAGTTGTAAACTGGTAATACGCCATTGAGGCACTTGACTCCGATTTCATTCTGCTTTTCTTTTCGGATTTGCTTCCATTGTCCTTGTCTAACCAAGAACAATTTACACTGTAGCAGTTGTTTGATTTTGGAGTTGTCTCTCATAGAAGACTGTATGTCCCCAGATAACGAGTCTCATCTGCTCGAGGGTTCGAACGCAAGACTTTTCGGTTTAGCAGCGATGAGCTTTACCGACTCGACCACGCCGACCCCTACACCGGTGTATAATTTATAACGCTTACATTTCTACATTTCAACTGTATAAAACCTATTGTAAGTCAAACTATAATAATAACGTAAGGGTATTTTGTAAAATCATCATTGTCACTCAGGACAGCCCTTGAAATGCTAAACAATGCTTGCAGTTTGACTCTGCTGCAATAGATCCCCGGACTCTATAAGATCGAGGAAATGCAATCGCGAACCAACTGGAAAAATTAACGGGCAAGAAAAAAGAACAGCTAGAAATTTCTCAACATTAAAATGAAAATTAATATAAGCATAACAAGCAAACAATTCTAAAATATGGTCTGACACGCACCCAAATGACACAAAAGACGACGGATCTTACAAATAAACACGCAAAGAAAAATACATATAGGCCACAACAGACTAAAACAGCACATGTATTAAAAAAAAAGTAGGGTATGGTAAAACTTGCCCACGTGGCATGGTCCCTGAGAATACGGAGCACGTCCTCCAAGACTGTTCCTTATATAGCCAGGCGCGATCCAAACATTGGCCCCTATACACCCCACTCAAGAAAAAGCTATATGGGTCACCCGCGAATCTGGGGACCACAGTCCAGGTCATACACGAAGTTACACTTGTTGTTGCATGAAATTTACTTTAGTGCTATTCACGTCATTTTATAGGTAGTCAAAATGAAATCACTAGAAAATAGTGCTATATTCTTTGTACTTAGGCCAATCAAACTTTTTAAAAATAATTATTACGCTACATGTACAGACAATGCAAATTCTTACGGTACTTAATGGCCCTTTCGTTTTAACCGGTGTAAGAAATTAAATCGTATTTTAACCTCATCTGATAAAAATATCTTTGCTAATGTATATTTGTATCAAATACCAATGTCGCCGTAATATTTACTACTTCACATAGATTATGAGCACACCTTAATTAAATGTTACTATAAAATGACCAGAAACAATTCAATCAATTATATTTTAATTCAACAACCATCGAGCACAGTTTTCTTCACGCATATATTCCAAAATTTTTAAAAATGTTTGTATTTTCTCCATCACTATAGAACTTTAATTCATCACAACAATCTTCAGTGTTCTTGCACAGTTTGTGCCATTTATTTTTTTCTCGTCCGTGTTGAAATTTACCTACCTATATTTAGTTGTTCTGTTTACACTAGCAACACATTATATTAAAAAACAAAATACAACCAATTCAAAGATGTTCTCTCGATTGAATGATAAATTAAAAATTTAACAGGTTTCATTTGTTGTAATTATTGTCTGTGAATATTAGAGGCATGAGCAATGGTGTCGCTGGGTGTGGTGTCACCTGGTGCGGCACTTAATGGTAATATTCACCCCCCTCTCCAAGAGAATATATATATATATATATATATATATATATATATATATATATATATATATATATATATATATATATATATATATATATATATATATGTGTGTATGCCGTATACACTTGAATGTGTATTCGCATGTGTATATGTACTTCAATATATCTTTTTTTCATGATGTATTTAAATGTTTTTTGAGCTACGCAATTTCGGGCTGAACTTCAATCTCTTTTTTTAATGAATGGGAAAAAGAGTAACATAGCGACCCAATACCTTTTTATAGGTAGGCCTATGCCCCAATGAACACTTGCCCGAATGCGACAAATGCCCGAAAGCCACCTGCCCGAAGGCCGTTTGCTCGAAAAATGTTGACATTATATATTATCAAATAATCATTTGTAATCAATTTAAATTTGTAATATTGATAAACAAATACATATCTAAGCAAAATAAAAGGAAAAATATATATATTATATATATATATATATATATATATATATATATATATATATATATATATATATATATATATATATATATATATATATATATATATATATATATTATATATATATATATTACCACGCATACATTCTTATTTGTCCTAGATCCACTTTATTATATTATTTCAAAATATACACAGTTTCAAAATTAGACTGATTTTAGGCTTGAAATAATTGTTTCAAAACATTTGGCAACTATCTTCATTGCTGATAAAAAGCGTCAAAATGGCAAGACAACCAGTTCTATTTATCTGTTGCTTGCTTTATCTGTTGATACGTAGATTGTAAATTTCCAATTTGTTGCCAAAATACCTGTGGTAAATAAAGTAGAGTACATTTGTTTCAAAGACATCGGGATATGAAGGGATAGCATGGTCAGAGCTATGACAAGTTTCCTTTGTTTTCCTCACGTTAGTTTTGTACCCATCAGAGCTGGGTGGACTCAAATGTGTTCTAATGACTTGAAACCGGATTCGAACTCGAGACTCCCATAAAACATCCCATCCCGACACCTTATTAAACCTTCCTATACCGACATCTATAAACCTCTTCCACTGCGCATGACAGTTTACATGGCTGTCAATTCTTCTCTACTGCGCAAGGCAGGTCATGTGGTTGCAAATTTGTTTCTACTGCGCATGACAGTACATGTACTTGCCAATTATCCTCTTCTGCGCATGACAGTTCACGTGGTTGCAATTGTATCCAATCCTAGCCCAGCCAGCTGGTCACGTGTTGCGGGTTGATCCCAGGATAATCTGTTTCAATCAAGTGAGGACGACCATTCAATAGATCGATATTTACAGTATTGATGCTAATAGTGTTGGTAGAGTTATTGATCAAATATATGTAACTGTGAGTTTAGAGACTAAACCAAAAGAACAATGTATCAATTTTAAATGTAAAACACATAATTTATCATTAATAGCAAAAAATAAAAGACTTAATTGTTCATTTATCCATACAAGAAATTGTGAGTCATTACGTGGATGGGATATTACTCAGGCAAGGCGGGGGCGGGGGTGACACCATTTAAGGGTTGACATTTATTATTACCCTCATATCTAGTAACAGTAGGTTTCAAACGTTTGGCGTTATCTAGCATTTCAGAGAATGAACACTGTACTGTAGTTTCGTGCAAGTAATTTCCAGTGAAATCTATTCCCAGCTGTTTCAAAAATTATGCTTAAAATAACGAGAGTTTTTCCATTCTAGGAAAAGTTTTTTTTTTTAAAGTCAGAAATGGTAAAAAGTTAAAGTTAAGTAGTCTACCCTTTCAAACATGACGGCAGGTGAAGTAGATATCACGTGCTTCTGTGACCTCAGCATATGAAAGCATAGTGTGGTCAGCACTATGCCCAGTAACCTTTACTTTGACTAACGCGAGGCAGGTCCACATCAGAGCTGGCTGGACTTCGGGACGTTATACCTTCACAAAACCGGGATTCGATCTCAATACTTTTGTGACAACACTTGTATGTTCTACCATCCCACCACTGATTACTACATTGAATAATGAATTATGACGTCTAAGACAACAGGTAATCTCACACATTAAATAACAGTTCTTTCGTACTTGAGGTCACTGTATAACTGTATTGATCAATTATTACCCCGAGCTTAATACACAGATACACCGATATGGAGGCGCATGGATTATGTATGTAAACTACTCTAAAAAGTAAACATAAGACAAATGTTTACTTTGGTACCCTAGCAGTTTAAAGTTTTTTTTTCAAAGATTAAAGATAAACAGGTCTTCCGATCTATACACAATGAGAGCAAATATATAAAAGGTTATATAATGCTTATATTTACTGATTCTTACATAATTAATTAATTGCTTCGAATAAGATGTTTGTGCTCAGCCAAACCAAATGTTATACCGGCTAAACTACAGGTAGATGGCCAAAGATGCAAGAGGTAACTAATAAGGAAACGTGCAAGAAGTACCTGCAAAGAAGTGAGAATCGTTCGTGTCAGTACGCTAGTTGGGAGCTAATTCCGTGAGATCTTTACAAAAACTTCTTGTGGGATATCATACAACATGTGACACATGAAGAAGTTCGTAAAGGGTCCATCAAAGGAGTTGGTCACTTTGATAACCTGTAAACTCTAGCCATTTAAAACAAACGTATTTTTAAAATATCATTTTCTGATCTACTTATTAATTTTGAAAATTAAAATTAATATCAAATTAAAGATAAATAAATGTATTTTTTTAATTGTTGAAGTCATCTTGAACACCAACAAAGTTTAAAATGTTATCAATCACCCTTGGGGACGGGTGATCTAACGGTAGACCGCGCATTAGATAACCCCAAAAATTCTGAGATCGAGGCTTTAGGTCATCCCTTGACCGAAAGGCCTATTTATATTAATTTTAAACGTACCTCAGCAATACGCCAACTGCGTACACGTCCTGATGTCCGATTACTTTTTCAGCTTCAATGAATTCTAAACTTTTGGCCTCCAGTATTTTATTTGTCTTCTTAACTTTCATTTCTGTAATTAAAGAATTAAATAAATTTTTGATTTTTTTTATAAATATAAAAGTAGATCAAAATGTAGTTTTCTGTTTCAATTAAACAGGTATTGCATTTTGTGCAATCAGTAGTTTTTAAATATTAACTAACCTTCGAGGTATTAATGT